ATCAGACTCAAAATCAACTATATAGACTTTTTCCTCTTTATTCAGCTTAATCACAAATTCAATTATTAGACAATCGATAAAATCGAAAGAACGTCTTCATTGATTGCCACTTCTTCGCTTGGTCCATTTGTTATTAATCTTTCATCATCTTTATCCTCTTCTTCAATAATTGATATCTCCTCGGGTTGAATGATCGACTCACAGTCTAAATCCACGGGCAATGGTAATTCTTTCCTTTCAATCTTTTCAAATGGATTATATCCACACCTTTTAATTTCATCCCAAAATATGGAATCTACCAAATGTACTTTGCTTTCACCTAACATGACAAGTTCATTATAATAGTTTGCAAGTGCCTCCTCATTCCATAAGGGAGGACCAATTCCCTTAAGACTAATGTCATCTTCTACATATGGAGATGTCCTTAAGCATGTAGTCTTCATCAGAGTTGTCAATTGCCTATTTTCGATATCTTAAATATTTTTTAAACCACAAAAGCTTGGACATAAATGGATTAGGGCATGTATATAAACATTGTCCAATATAATGCATCCAATTACAAAGCTCACAATTTATATCTTCCCTAAGCAAATCCTCATAATCCATATCGAGATTACTCATTACAAAAATATTTTAATCGGTTGGCATTATTGGAACCACGCATATATTGCCAAATAGTAGCTGGAAGAATATCAAGCAAGATGGATTAGGGTGGATAGCCAAAATCGACAAAAGAATAATCGAATTTAATATCAACTAATAAACTAGAATCAAACAAATTATTCCCTGACAACGACGCCAAAAACTTGTTTGGTAAAACCCCGCAAGTGTTCGAGATCATTGACGAGTAATAGATAAAGTGAGTTTAGAGTTATCGTCTCGCGAAGAATAGTGTTTAATTTCAGTATATTAGTAGTTATTATCAAGTTCGATAAAGAGTAACATCAAAAGAGATTTGTTATGATTTTCTAATCTAATTTTAACTAAGAAAGTAATTAAGAGTGGTTTTCAGCAAATATGTGATGAAAGTATTGGAATTCTGAATCCCTCTATTAGTGTTATTTTCAATTCTCGACCCATAAAAATGTAGTATTAATTTTCTAATGTTAACGAAAATCAATAATCCAATTTTATTTGATATCATAAATATCAAACCTATGCTTAACATGACACGTTCCTATTCCTATTTGAATTCATCNTCAAGCATTCAAACAATACAATGTAGATGCATAAATAATCAAGAAACTTAAGAAATTGCAAAATTAACAAGTCCTGAACTAAAAACAATAACTAATAAGGTTCATTATCCGTCAAATATAATGAAAAACTTAACCTAACATTCATATAATTAAATTACACAAGAATAATTGAAAAAAAAAATCACCTAAAATAAAAAGGATAGAAAACGTGGGAGAAATTCACGTTCTTGACTTAAATCCTAAAACTGGATTATGAATCTTCAAAATCATTGGATGATTCGCCTTGAATTGATGTATAGACTTGTTCTTCACCTCCAAATTATATAGAATGTGATGAAATTTAGGTCGAATTGAGGATCCCCACGTTCTGGTCGAGTTTTAGTATTTAAAGGATACAAAAAAAAATCATTTAATTATTACCAAAACAAAAATAAGGAAAATCAGATTTTTCCCATTTTTACACTACCTATGGTGTGCGTCTAACTTGTTTGGGGTGTCTCAAGCGCCCCGTTTTTGGTTGAGGCTTGTGCCTCGCCTACAGGTGGTGGCGCGTGCCTTGGTCTCTCCGATTAGCAGCCTTCAGTATTTTTGTCATTTAATTTCTTTCGTGATATTCGATTGATGCGACTCAAAATGGATTGAAAAGTTAACTCAAAGGGCTTTAATTTTTATCAAAATATCTTTTTTCTAATTCGAATGTTTACTACACCAAAAAAGGTCTCAGTTTTAGGTAGAAAATCCAAAGCATAACTCTTTCGGTTGGAAATTGATGTTTGATAATATTTTGACCATATTTTATTCATTTGACTTATTTTCTCGTCCAATTGACACCTAATACTCTCAAATTTTCATAATGAGGCCCGTCACAAATTTTGAGCATTTGCACTTTAGTCCTCGAGCTTTGGATCTCTTATAATTTAACACATTTTCACCATTTATCCAATTCTTCATCAAATCGTGAGTTTTACATATTAAACACAATACACAAAATATTAGGTAATATTTCATCAAAATAACTACAAAATATCAATATTTAAAGCCCCAAATAATTGTTTAAAATACACTTATCACCTCACCATCGTTTTTCAAATTCCACACTTGAATATCCATGGTTGGACTCGGGGGACTATTTTCTTGCGTTCAAAATGCACAATCAACAAATGGCTAATACTCCATGGCCTCGACGTTGAGTAATTCACCTCCATGTTGAATGTCCATGCATAATATGAATATCCATACATGGACTTAGTGGACTATTGTTTCGCCTCTCACGAAGAGGCTCTGAATATCTGCCAACATGGTAGCCAATCCCCTGTTCGGCCTCCATTTTATCCAAAATGCATTCTCTCTTTCATCTTTCTAACCACACATTCTTTAATAAAATAATATTACATATAATCCCAAAACTTTTCCTTCATTTTTAATCATATATTCTTTTAAAAAACCAATTCCAAAATATATTATCCCCAAAAACATATTAAAATGGAACCCAAACAAGGGCTAAATAAATCAGTAAGGCCCGTACTTCATGTCACTCCCACCACGTCGCTCCCACACATCGAAGCTCCGAGGTGCCAAGGTGAAGTGGTCAGTATAAACACGTCCGCCACATTGAAGCACCGAGGCTATACATGTCGAAGTGGTGTGTAACAAAGTAATATGAGGGGGACAAACACCTACTGCTGAGATAACGATGACATCTCGTCCCAACTAACTAGATCTTTTATACAAAGATCTATCTAAAATAAATTCTTTGTACGATTGATTGATGTGACATCTGTGCAGTCAAGTCATGAATCTACTTGTAAGGAGATATTAAATGCCCGCCCACCTAGGAATGATTGACTGACACCTAAGGAGACACTTCAGCTAGTAGATGAGGCCACGTGCCCTTCCATCTAACTGTTCCAAATCCACCTCTTTCCCTATATATATACTCACACTTAGTGCCTTTTGAAGGTAATGCAACTCCAACCAAATCAAATATAATCTCACTTCCCATATCAATATTATATTGATTTTTCTATAGTTCCTACTACCGAAATGCCCCCCATTTTTCATATGATTGATTGACTTGATCGTCGGAAGCTCACAACAGCTTCCACCACCTAAAAGGGCAACAGTGACTAACGGTGTATTCTAGTGTGCAAGGAGTTTGGGTTGAGGTACTAGTTATTGGCTACGTGCGAGGTACATTTTTCGAGGTCAACATATACTGTGCTTAGATTCACATTCACTTTATTACTTGTCTACGATAATTTCCACTTGTGAGATTTTAGCACATAACAAGCCTCCGATAAGAGAGGTGCATAGCTCATATTGGTGGCCTTCGAATGGAGGACACACAATATTAAGAACCCAAGTTTTCGTCAGCTTATAAGCGAGAGCTTCAGCTGACGAGGTCCACGGATGTTTTTGATAGATTCAGAGTTTCGCTTAGAAATAAGCTCCAAAATGAGATGTATATACATAAGCAACAGAATGAAGTGACTAGAAATAAGTGCGTGCATTCTAGGTGCATAGGTCATTTGCATGCGAAGATAGTGAAGTTGGAATCTATTGACGAACTAGATCACATCCAGATTCGGAGCTCAACAATGACGATTATGGATGGTCCCTATGTTACAACTTCGTATCAACTTCAAGGAGTGTTGAATTTCAGGATCTGCTAAATGAACTGTTCTATTCATCTCATGAGGTTGTCAAGTTGGGAGATCGAGCATTACGAGCTCCAATACTAAAGTTAGATGGTTTTTTTTTTTATAAATACATATAACTGTGCGTTTTTTAGGGGTGTGATTATTTCAATTAGAGATTGTCCATCTTTTATAGCGAAAGTGAGTGGAGAATGTAATGACAAGTCAAATGCCATTTAACGCGATTGTAACTTTTTATCACTTTATAGTTACCAAATTGATGGATTTAGACTGTAGCACAGTCCGGCCTTAACAAGTCAATTTATTTATGGCATTTGTCAGTTATACCTTTATCATAGCGATTGATATGAGTGGAGATGAGTATTGGGTTAGTGATGATAACTGGAGGGGTATGTGTGTGTATGTGATTGAATCGGTTGTCACATGTGGTTGCCATGATGGAGACAAAAGAGACACCTCCTATCTTTCAAAGGCGACTATTGAATATTATTAACCAAAAATTCAAAGATAGAGGAGCATTGCATGCATGCGATTCGATAAAAAATAAAGCTATTCTTGTAGCAATCTTTGTCTCAATCATCGAACCAACCTCTCTCGTAAAGATATTTGTTGCTATACCTAACTCCCTACCTTTAATTAGTTAGATATTGCATGTTGAATGTGTATATGTACGTGTGATGAAGATGAAAGTGGGGATAGGGAGGATGATACTGTCACAAGATACATTTTTAACACATCCGTACATAATCTCATCTTAGCAAAATGGGATGAAATGCAAACATCCCAAGATGTAACGTATTGAGGTGTTGAAAAATATGCTGGCGGCTTCCCGTTTGATAAGAACATGCCGAGCCGTAAAAATATATTGAGAGGGACAACTAGTTCAAGACAACTGCATTGATCTCAGAAGGGATGTTATGTAGAAAGTTATTGACCCTACCCTACCCAAAAAAGGAAAGAATAACTGCACCTATTTACTAAAAACCGCCTTGAAAATTTATGTACTTCGAGAGAGAGAGAGAGAGAGAGAGAGAGAGAGAGCGCTTCAAGTGCCTAAAAATGGGAAAAAACTAATAATACATCTTATTTACAGGCGCATGTTTCAAGAACTAAGCAATTCAACAACACATTCAGTTTAACTTGTTCAGCTACTTGAAGGTTTAAAGTACATGCAGATGGGTGGATTGATCCTGAAGATAGAAAGAATAGCAGATGGTATAGTCCATATTCCATCACCGCATATTAAACCTGAAGCAACCGCGCCTGCGTAATCTTCAGCGTCCTCTCTATTTATCCGCTCCCATACAAACAATATTACGGTGCCAACAAACATGTCAATTGCAAAGTAAGCTCCAATATAGAACGGGACTGCCATTGCCATTGGAATAGGAATGAACTGGGAAATCTTTTTAGGTGTCACATCCCTCAAAAGGTTTATAGCCAGAGCTGCCACAAAGAAGCCACAACATATGGCCAGACAATGCTTCGGAAGTTCAGAGAAGCCTTCCACTCCCAAAATAGCCATTTCCCTGTAGATAACAGCATATGGTGCTTTATACGGACTATCAGGGGTACCAATGTCGAAGGCGGTCCAATACATCCAAAATGTGAGGGGTGCAATAACACAGCCCATGGCTGTTCCAACTAACTGGCTTACAAACATAGATTTTGCTGATGACAGAGTAAGGTAGCCAGTCTTAAAATCTTGCATTAAATCAGCAGCAGTAGAAACAATCGACATCATAACCCCACAAGCTGCCAATCCAGCTAAGACCCCACCATTGCTTCCAACCAGCGAAGCAATAATAAAGAGGCCAATCTTTCCATAAGTAGAAGCCAGACTCCAGTCCGTGAGCCCAGTACCATATGAGTTGCAGAAGGCAAGGGCAGGTGCAATTATGTAGGAGCAAAGCACCAAATACCACTTAAGAGGTGGAAAGATCATTGGCATTGTAGCAGTAGATATTGCAGCCAGGGCAACATATCCAGAGGCGGCGAACCAGAAAGGGATCCCATCTTTCAGGAAAACCGCATCTCTTTTCCTCTGCTCCACTAGTAACTTGGAATTGTCACTATCTGTAGAAAGATCAATTAGGTATAATTGAAAATATTGATAAATGTCACAATTTGCCATATTGACACCTGAATTATATTTGCAACAACGCCGACACACATCAATAACAGAAATTGATGGTGGCAAATGACAATCCTACATAAAGCTATTTTTTCTCTTCCTCATAATTCAAAAATTGAAGCTATGTGAGGACTTGAGAGGTTGGGGAACAAAGTCACTAAATCTACTGTATGTGAATGAGTTTGTATATTGTCAGTGTAAAGAGAGTCAATACAAAAACTCTACAATATAATGAAAAACGACAAAACAATTTGGAAAACTAACTTCCACCTGCAACTTCCTTGATGACTGGAATATTATGATGCTTGGTGCTACTTCTGTACATCTCCTTAATTGTTATTGCTATTATCTTGATCAAATTGTAAATCCCATCCCCAAGAATTAGGGAAATAGCAATAAAGACCTGCAAATAAAGATAGCACAATAAGCTTCCTCCATTGTGGCAAAAAGGACAACATAACAAGGAATAAAGACTTCACCATGAATGAAAAAATATAAATGAGGAAGTCAAGATAAATATAATAGAAATGAAGATGTTAAAATAAATGTGTGACCATATTACAATAGATAGAAAAGGAACAGAACACATAAACCAACACCTGAAGGAGGCATTCATTGAGAACGAATTGAGGAAATGAATTTTTAGGCAGTTCAACATCATGCATGGACTTGAAGAAAATCAAATGCACAACAGCCATGTGATCCCAATACATTATGTCAAGAGGAGAGGTAAAAAAAAAACATGGCTTAATGTGGATGCACAAGATTTAATTTCATTAGATCTTTTAGTAGGTGTAGTTGTGGATCGAACATGAACAAATGAAAATGCTCCATGCGGCCAGTCCACTATTAACTTTGTATCATTACTGTAAAAGAGAACTGCTTGCCTGTTGTTTTTCATCTAAGGCTGGATCAAGAAGCTTGACTGAAGGTTGATAAGGTAATCACTCCAATAAGTGGACAAATTTCCACCATCGACTACGATCAATTGCTTGTTTTGGGATAGTGTTCGGCTCTCTTAACAGATTGATCCAATAAAAGAATATAGTTTTTCTCTTTCCACTCATTATCTTTCACCAAAACTGCCCTCCTTACACTTATTGAATTAACTTATGCCATGAAATAGCTCCTTGTGAAAATTTGACTATGCATCAACTCCCAACTCGCCCAATGAAGAAAGAACGAAATCGTACTGAGAACATTATCCATGCATTAATCGGACCAACCCTACTATACGTATATCTTGGTGCGACCACTAAAGAATTCACTATACACTAAACAGCTTCTTATATATGCTTATTAAAAGACCGACTTTGCTGACATATTCTCGATACGTACTAACAGTCAAAATTTGTATCCAATTTTCATGATATTATGCTTGGATCAGGTATATCAAGGTGTATTCTTCAGGAAAAAAATGTGTTATCCACAATGGAATTGTGTTACATTCTAATTAACAGAATTGCGATGGCACTTATAAAGTTCCTCATGTATAGTGGAGTTTGTAGTTACAGCAAGGAGGGAGCCCCATCGGCCACAGTCCATCTCCGCACTGGTTGACTGAAAATTATGTTCACTTCCTTCTAAGGAACTAACTATTTGGTCAAATTAATCAAAGTACCTTGTATCCATAGAGACCTTTAAAATCATTGCTGCCAAGATCAGCTGGATACCAGTCACCAGCACGTTGAGAAATGAGTGGCCAAAGAAAACCCCACGATATAATAGCTCCAAGAAGCACCGAGCAGTTCACTATATGAGGGCAGATAAGACCACATCCAACATAAGTTGGACTAAAGTCAAAATAGAACCTGCATCATAGAGCATCACTCAAGAGTCGAGGCATAAAAATCTTCTCCATGTCAAATGACTGAAAAAAAATACACAGCAATATTTAAAAAAAAAATGATATTTCCAAAGTAGCACAACCATGAGTTGGAACTAGAACAAGAGTAGATCCACAAACACTAGCATATCTCTAAGGTAACCAACAAATTGGCCTGTTGAGTATCACTCAAACGATGCACATACAAACACACAATATCACTTATAAAAAAAAATAAAAAAAATCAAGGATTTGTATCATATAAACACCACTGTACAATATAATGCACATAAACAAAGCCTGCCTATCCAGGCAAAATAGCCTAAGCAGAGTAGTAAATCTGCTGTGGCTAGAAGACCACTAATGGAAAACTAATTGCAATATTATTGATAAAAGATCCGTATTAAGTGCACCTTTAACTTTTCTTTATCACACCAATTTCCTTTTTCATTATTCCAAATTTTAGTTTTCTGGTTCGTCTGTGCCAAATAATCTATTATTAAAAAAAATAAAAAATCCCAAATTCCTCTTGACAGATATTGTAACTGGAAAATACAAGCAGAGAAGGCAAACAACAGATCTAAACAGTTACATTTACCTCAAAAGGGTAAATCATTTTATTTCATTTGAAAATTAATTGAGTTAACTCATCAACTCTCTATAATATTTTCTGAATATGGTCGTGTGCAAATTTTCTCTGCATGGTTATTTAAAGATGCTCTTTGGCCAAAGTAGATGCATGTACAATCGTAAGTTTTAGCAAAGAGAGAATTTCAATGCATGGATTAAGAAGATAACAAGAAGAAATATAAAAAATTAAAATGCCATAGGTCTTAATGACATACCAAAAACTGCACGATCAAAATCCACAACATCAATAATGAAAGTGAATAATAACATAAACAAAAAGTACAAGGTGCTCACGTGTTGTTGAACAGAGTCAATCCAAGGCTGGGAAAGTTATCAAATCCACATGAATCACCAATACCGCTGAAGAACCATTTAAAGCAGCTCCAGATGAAACTTATGCTCAAGTATTTCCCAAGACAACTCACCTGCTTCCTGAGAAATTAATTCATATTAAAAGAAATTCTACAAGCACTCCAATGGAAAAGGATCAAAGCTAAGAAACATGCACAGTCTGGGACACATCTTCCATATATATGTAATATATATACATTGATGATGAATGGACACTACCTGACAAATCTCCGGGCACTGATATGACATGCCATGCGGCGTCTCATATAATTTTTCAATTTCTAACAAGACAGCGACATCTTTTCAACATGTGAAGCAAGCGACAAGCCCCATTTATCCCCATTATTTTTCAAAAATTTCTAAGAGGGAAAAGCCCTCGACACATCAAGCATGCGACAAGCTCCATTTGTATATTTTTAAAATATAAAACCCCAGAAATTTTTTACTATTAAACGAGTAAAAAAGTCAAAACAATGCGAGAAATATTCTACAAATTTCATGTAAAAAAGTGCCAAATCCACGAGGTGTAATTTTGACCCATGAACATTTTTGTTTTGTTGGCACAAAACTCTACATAGTTTTCACCTGCAAAATTCAATATCAAGGCTAAAATGAAAAGCATTAATTTTATTTCAAGACTCCAAGGAAATTAGTAGATTAGTCAAACAAGAGGGATGATCTTCCTAACATATGCTCCCCGCGTAAAGAAGCAAAAGTTCCCTGCTTGTAAAAAATAGAAACTGAACCTTGGGAAAATGTTAAAGATACTGAGTATACCTAGCAAGTTCAGCTCCAGTATTTGTATGGAAGCTATTGATCAACATTGCTGTAGCAGTTCCACTGGGGTACGTCAGCTTATAATCCAAGACCATAACCTTAAATTCAACAAAAACAGAATATTAGTTATAATCTAAGCAAATCCCCCCAAAACTCTTATCACATCTATTCAAACAGGTTATTGATCAACATTGCTGTGGCAGTTCCACTGGGTATGTCAGCTTATAATCCAAGACCATAACCTTAAATTCAACAAAAACAGAATATTAGCTATAATCTAAGCAAATCCCCCCAAAAACTCCATCACATCTATTCAAACAGGTTTTAACATTTTTCTTCCACAAGTGTCTTAACTAACTACCAGAAGCTAAGAGATTTCTTGCGTTTCTGTTTATTTAAATTTTCCCTCGTTGTCAGGCCAAATGTGCTACCATTACCGAGTATGCCTCAAGCAAATGCATAAATGGAACCTTTGCTCATTCCAATATGAAGGTGCTAACGTTTCATTCATTACCAAGTATGCCTCAAGAAAATGCATAAAGTGAGCATCTTTATATCGAACATCATAAAATCAACTGTGCTTTTATTTATCCAATCAAACTGTATAACTGAATAATGGTTTCATAAAGTACCTTCCGAAGAGGAACAAGGCTAAAAAGTCCAAGAAAACTGACAACGAATATAAAACCCATCATCCACAACAACCCGGGATTCTTAACATCCTCTGCTCGATTTCCTGGATAATCCTCCCCAATCAACTTGTACGTTTTCTCATCCATCGAAAGCAAGTAAGACCCAAATCCCCCTGAGAACAATATCAAACAAGCAATTCATAAACCCATTAGCTCAGTCAGGAAAAAATTAATAAATAAATTCATATATATATACACATTTCTATATGCATATTTATATGTAAGCTTAGTTACCACTAAATGCGAGGCCATAACATGCAACAACACATGTCTGAATTACAGTGTTTTCTTGCCGGGTAAAAGGTTTAACATGAAACCCTAATTTCGACAAAAACTCGGTCCACGACTTGACAAAGAAGAATCCCAACAAACCGGCGGCAACATTGAGAGAAGGAATGATTCCGACTGTGAGATTAAGCTTGTGTGTAATTATACAGAAAAGAGCGCCTAATAAAGCGCTCACTACAAGTCCTCGAATCGTTATCTGCTCCTTCCATTCGGGGATTATTTCTTCCTCCTGTTCATCGGAACCAACGACCCTGATTTTGCGCTCTGCCACTTCATCCTGTAGTAACGGCTCAGATATTTCCACCCCTGCCGCCTGCTCGGTCCCCATTGAGATGAAACACCGAAAATTGATTTCGGACCACCGGATATTTGGAAATGGGAAGCGATGGAATGCGATGATCGTTATGGGTTTGAAGATTTTTTTTAGGGAGAGGTGACTCCCTTCCAGTACTCTCTCCTCCAATTTTCTCCAATTTCAACTGAAATCGGGTGTTGCATTTGATTCAAAGAATTGTCTTTTTATTTTTATTTTATTTTTTGTTTTGGATAAATTGCTTTATTTGACCGAGTTACTTTCAATTGTGGCCGAGTTACTTTCAATGGACCATATCACACAATTATTTTATTTGTCTTCGGAATACGATCGTATCTTTTCATATGCATCCGTCCATGTATTCATATGTCTATCAATTTCACAATTTACAAATTGTATCTTCACCTGATGGAAAATATCTACCTAGAGCAAAATGTACAAATGACAAGAACATAATATCTCACTAAAAGACGAAAACTGTCCAAAAAAATTTCTTTATTATTTCATAAATCAAATGTCTACCTTTCAACTTACATTAGATTTTTTTATTTTTTAACAATTCTATCCTTTCAATTGACATCACCTACGTTTTGCATGGCCCTGCAAACAATGTCAAAAGCAATGGAGAATTGTAGCTATGGTTTCATATCTTTTTTTTTTTTTCCAGACTTTACTCAAACCTTTAGTTTGTGCTATCTAATCCCAAATCTTTAAAAAGTTGCACCACAAAGACAAAATGACAAAAATCGTTAGTTCATTTGTTAGTTGACCAAAAGTCAACGATCTGATCGAATTTTGACTAATTTTAGAAGAGCAAAAAGGTAAATTTAGATTTTTTTCATTTAAAACAATTAATTAAAAAATCGAAACGAAAAAAGTAAAGAAAATTTTTCTTCTTCCACAACCCATAACTCACCTTCCACTGTCCACCTCCCATCGCCACCACCTTATGTCGTCCACAAATATATGCGACTCATTATCTATATGCACCAAAATTGTAACTAGTAACCATTTTTACGCCTCTTCTTCACCATCTATCTCATCTTGGAGGCATCGACCCAGGAATCGCCAGCGACGTGGATATTTGATGAAGTTGCGGAAGCCATGGCTCGATTAGGCTAGAAATGAATAGATCTTGGCTGAAATCAATTTGATCTTTTTATACAGATCTCAAATTGGGAATTGCTGATTTCAAAAATCTGAAAAATTCCCAAAAAGAGTTGCAAAAATGGAACGGTTGACTGGAGCCACCACAACTTATATACAACATTGGAGGCTCTGGCAGGATGTTGTGGAAATTTTTTTTGATTATTGCTCAAGTTGTTGAAAAGGGTGAAATTGTGTAATGGCAGCTATTGTAGCAGGGACGGATCCAGGATTTTTTTGTGGGGAGGGGGGGAGGGGGCTGAAAGCACTTAGCAAAGCCAATGTAATAAAATTTACATGTACAAAAAAAATTCATTAAAAAACATTATTTATTTAAGTCGTTCCCGATGAGAATTTGAAACATAATATTCATCTATAATAGAATTTAGATCGATTTTCTCAGCAAGTTCTCTTTCTATAAAAAGTATCATACAATCACCAAGAAAGTCATCCTCCATTTTGTTGCGAAATGTTGTCTTCACATGTTTCATTGATGAAAATGCTCGCTCAGTGCTTGAGGTAGAAATAGGTAATGCCAATACAAGACGAATCAATCTAGTCACCATAATGTAACTTTCCGACCTTCCACTCTCAATCAACTGTTTGCATAATTCAGCAAGTGTAGATACTTGAAATCGAGCCTCACCTTTCATATCTAACTCATAATGTGGTAACTCAAATTGTAATGTAATAATATATTGCTTTGAAAAATCTTGAGGATAGAATTTCTCTACAAGTGTGCAAATTTTACGACTGTCAAATGATCTAAATGAATCTTTAGGATCCAAAACAGCACTGAGAGAAAGGAGTTCAACTGACATGTCATTAAATCTTGCACTTAACACTACCGTCACAAAATCGATTAATTCGTTGAAAACATCATAGTGATAATAATGTTCAACTGTAGTTTCATCACTAGAACGACCAATGTTATACAAACCTTCTAAATTAGGTATTGTAATATCATTTCTTGAGCAAAAAATTTTCACTTCTTGAAGAAATTCTTCACAGTCGTCATCTCTCAATTTCTGAAACAATTGTTTTGTAGTAGACACAAACTTCAAAGCAACCAAGATGTCTTGAGATTGTTTTTGAAGGGTTTAACAAAGAACATTAGTAATTCTCATAATTCTATGGATCAAATACAAGATAAAGATGAACTTAAAACTCACCAGCTTTTTGTAAGCACCACGAGCTTCAACCAAAGATCTGCCATTTGAACAATGGTCACAAATATATTCAAGCACTTTTCGGGTTGCACCATACATATATATCAAACTCTTTACAGAGTTGTAATGTGAACTCCAAAGAGTACCTATTGACCACTGCAAATTAACCATTTGATTGGCTCCACTTCTAGATTCGAGCTCCCCAGCAGCCATCATATGCTGAATTTCCTCTCTATGAGAAGCTTGCAACTCAGTAACTCGTTTAGGAGAAGAAGTAATAATATTGATAATTTTGTCTAAATGAGAAAAGAAATTCCAAATGATAGTAACATCTTTAGCTACTGCGACCAATGTCAACTGTAATCGATGAGCATAACAATGGATGTAGTATGCATATTCACGATCTCTAAGAAATAATTCTTGAAGTCCATTCCAAGCACCGCACATATTACTCGCACCGTCATATCCTTCTCCTCTCATTTTGTTCACCTAAAGTTCATATTGAGTAAGAACATCACATATTTTGTTTTTGAGATTCAACGACTTAGTATCACTAACTCTTTTGATTGCAAAGAAACGTTCTATCAAACGGCCATGACTATTCACAAACCTCAAGATAATCCCCATCTGTTCTCGATTTGATGCATTTTGTGCTTCATCAACAAGAATGCAAAAGCATTCATCCCCATCCTCCTCTCCAATCATTCGTCGTACTCTATTGGCCATAATATGCAAAATTTCTTTCTGAAAAGTTGGAGCAATGTATTGTGCATTTTGTGGTGCATTTTCCAATACAACTTTTCTAATTTCCGGACTCAAATCTATTGCGTACTTTATTAGTTGTATAACATTCCTACGATTAAGAGAAGATGGTGATTCATCATTACCTCTAAACCCTAAACCTTTAAATGCCAGCCATTGAACACTTTTAATTGAAGTCATTAAACGTAAACGACATTTCTGAAGTTCCTTTTCCAATACAGTATGCATCACCTTGTCAATATGTTGAGACGGTTTGATTAAATCTTCAACTCTAGTCTTACACAGTTTATGATGTGTTTAATTAGCATGAATAAGAAATGTACAGTTGCTTCCATCCTTAACCCTCTTCCATTTATTATATCCTTCGGTAACCAATCCTGAACATTCAGACGAATTGTCATCTTTCTGAAAAGAAAACGGTAAAAATAATATGCCCTTTCAGTTGAAGGAAAATACTCCAACCAAGGAAATTCATCGAACCACTTTTTCTGAAAGCGACAGACTTGTTTTTTTCCTTCTATCCTTGGATACTCGTTAAGCTTCAACTGATAAGTTCCAAATTTTATATATGAAATTTTAATCTCATCTCGTAGATTGACAGGATGTTCAAACAGTTGGTTTCGTTTTCCCGGATCCCGTTCAATACTAGTACATGATTGCAATTCAGGAATTGAGACGGATGAATGTTCAATTTCTGGAGATGAAATTGGAGGATGTTGCATAGGAGTTGAGACTGACAGATGTTCAATATCTAGAGATGAAATTGGAGGATGTTGCATAAGAGTTGGGACTGACAGATGTTCAATTTTTGGAGAAGTAGATATACTTTAACTGGATTGCCCCGTCTTTTTAAAGAACGAAAATATTGTCTTCATTCTCTTTGATGAGGGTTGAGCTTCCATTTGTAAAGGCTGAAATAGTAGAAAGAATAAAAAAACTGAGAATAAAAGATCAAATAATTACAGCTATTGTTATGAAAAAAAGAGTCCAAGAAAATGGTTTTAAGGAGTCTTTTGTTTCATTCCTTTGATAAGGATCTCACTGTATTTTGTTTGATTCCTTTGATAAGGATCTCACTGTGTTTTTTTTTTTTTTTTTGGTTTCTGGGGGGTCCATTTATTGCTTTTGATGGGTGAATTTTTGCCTTTGCAGTTTCATTTTGCATTCAAAATGATTGGCTTTTGATTAATGGTGTGTTCATTTTGTTTAATACTAAGTACTAGGATCTTTAATTTGTATTTACTAAAAACGTAATATTTAAACATTAAACCAATAATTTATGGAAATTAAACACTATGATATTTGATACTAATCATACTATCCAATCTATTAGCATACTAAATAGATTTGAGCCTCACCAAAGGTCCACAGTAGCCACTATAAACAAAACACTAGTACACCACAGGTCCACAGGACCACATGCACTATTTCTATTGACTATTATCGTATCAATTTAGCACAAAAGAGGCAAAACAAAACCAGACAACCAGCAAGAAAAAAACTTCAACTCACCTGGAATTGGGAAGTGCCAAAGCCGAACGCCACCCGAACCAACAAACAAAACGGCAAACCAGCAAGAGAAAATTAGGGACAGCCCTGCCGCTATAAATTCAACAAAAAAGAGAGTAAGAGTCTAAGAGACAAATCACAAAAGTCAAAACAAAACCAGCATTCGAATTTCCAGCTAGAAAAAAACTTCATTTTGGAAAACAAAATACCAAATATAATTTCCTATACCAGCAAGAAAAAACCAACCTGTTACCTGTGGGAAATCTGAAGGGAATAATGGAATTGGCTGCAGGGTGCTCCTGCCCGACGCCTCGGCTACTCCAGGTAAATACGTAATGAAGATTTCGAATTGATTTTGTGGTGTGATTCGTGTGAATGAGTGATGATAATTGGGTAATTGGGTTAGGTTTTAATTGAATTGGATTGGAC